ATAATGATAAATACGAAAAAGATGATGTTGACAACTATGATGGTGGTGATAATGGGGATAATAATAATAATAATAATAATAATAATAATAATAATAATGATAATGATGTCGATGACAATCGGATTATAATAATAATGGCAGTAATAATAATGATACAATGACGATAATAGAGATTATTACAATGATAAAAATGATATTAAATACGACAGTTATAAAGATGATGAAGCTAATGATGTTGATGGTCTTAATACTAATGTTAATGATGTTGGAGACGGTCATGATACTTGTGATGATGATGGTCATGATTATGCCAATCTGATTATGATAATAATAGTGATGATAATAATAATGATGATAATGGAGAGGATCATAATTAAAATGATGATAATGATTTCGATAAAGATTAGGATCGTGATTTCGATGTTGTTGATGGTCATAATAATGATTATGATGATGATGAAGATGGTCGTGATACTGATGATAATGATGGTCATGATGATGATGATGATAATGATGATGATGATGTTAATAGGGTTGTTTATGATGATGATAATGATGATGATTGCGATGATAATGATGATTGCGATGATGATCATGATGATGATGATAATGATTATGATAATTATGATGATGATGATGATCAATATGATAATGATGATTTTGATAACAATGATGATGATGATGATGATGATAATGATGATGATGATGATGTTGATCTGATGATGATGATGATGGTGATAATGATGATAATGATAATGAGGATAATAGAGAGGATCATAATTTTAATGATGATAATGATTACGACAGTTATAAGGATTGTGATGCTGATGATGTGATGGTCATAATGATGATTATGATCATGATGGAGTTGGTCATTATACTGATGATGATGATGGTCATGATGACTGTGATGACATTGATGATGATAATGATGATAATAATGACAATGATGATTATGATTATAATGCAGATGATGATGATGATGATGATGATGATGATGATGATGATGATGGTAATGATAATGCTATAGAATTCAACTAAATATTTTCTCGAATTTGGATGGGAATAGTTTATTATTAGTTTATTTATTTCAGATATTCTATGTAAATTATTTAATTTCTAGTAGTGAGTCGTATTAAAGTTAATTATTGTTTTACATTATAAAACATTCGAACACATTAAGTATGTTAGTTTAGAAACTTTAATTTTTTTTGAGATTTATTAATTTAATCTGTTAATTAATTGATTTGTTGCGTGTACATTTACGTCAGAATATTATCTTCCTGATTTTGGCTCTTTCTTTCTTATAATTTATTAAAAGGTGTTTCAGTCCGTTAGAAAATATCAATGTTTATAATACTTCATGATATTCTGACTCTTAACACTTCTTATTGTTTCATTTTTAATTAAAAAATAAATTATAGCTTTTACTTCATTTTTCTATTTTTTATCCATACGATAACCTTTTTTGTACTACGTTAGTCTAAAAGAAGGCATTTAGTTGCTATTATAATTGTCGTTGGGAATTCGGAAGATTGTTGTTATAACTAAATTTTTTTATTATTCTTACAAGAGGCATTAACCTTCTTTAACTCTATACGTTGTTAAGGTTTGTGAGAATTGTGGTATTAGCTTATAATATTCCGTAGGCTTATAACAATGAGCTTCCTAGTCTTATAAAATATCTTAAATAACTAATTGTTTGAAAATATAACTTTTACTTGAATGAGGCATTTTTTATTAGAAAAAAGTCCATAAAATTAAGATTGTTATTTAACTCTTCTTGTTATAAAAAGACTATGATCTGGCTTTTTAGTATTCTATACAAACAAATTTAAATTTCTGGTTGACGCTTTTTTTTATTGTCTCGTTACGTTTGAAGTAGTAATCACTGTTAAACTTTCCATATTTCCTTACCTTTACTTTTTCTTAGCTCCGTATGGATTTCTATTCAGCCCTTTTTTTACATATTGGTATGGGAAATAAATACTACTTCTAGGTTCTTTGCGTAAAATGTAGTACAATAACTTAAAAATGCGAAAGTTGACTTTTTAAGACAAAAATTTTAAGCACAAACTGATGGAGTCATAATAAAAAGATTTTTTTGAAGCATATCAAACCTAAATTGTTTAATATGTTAAGTACTAAAAAATTGTAAAGACAAAAACAGTACAACTGTTACCTTGGGATATCGGAGAGATCGAATTTCTGGATATAAATGTTTATTTCCATCCCCGTACCATGATGTGTACATTTCTTTAACCAGTGAATCATTAAAACTTGCATATAGCAGGATATGAGAATCCTTTGACATCCAAACTGCTTCGGAACTATGTAATATTTCTTCTGTAAGTTAAAAAAAAAGTACGTATTCAAAAAATACAAAAAAAAAATTTTATCATTATTAGCGATTTCCAAAGTCATACACATAATATACAATTATAATAATGTCTTATGCATCTTAAAAATGTTCATTCAGTTCTACTTTGTTAAAAATTTGGAAGTGATATTTTAAAGTAGGACATTTGCTAAGTTGGTTGTTTTTCTAGAAAAATGAAAATATTAATTGTCAGTGCTATTAGAAGCATGCCTAAGGTCTAGAAAATAAAAAAGCTAGAAATACGTAACCTCAAAATAACAAAAATCTGATGACTTATTTCATGAAAAATTTTATAGACTTCTATGAAGCTTGTAAATTTGTAAGATACAGGTATGAAATAATTTCAAATAAAATTTTTTTCTATATTTTTCGCTGGTTTAGCTATAGAAATCGTTAATCATTTCTTTACAGTGTAAAAGTTCTAACTAAAGATATATCAATAAACTTCGGTCAAATTAAGATTTTTCAATCAATTATTAGAAAAAAAACGTTACCCTTCCTTTATTTCAGGTAAGCCTATTATTTAATAACGTTCGCTATTTTCTAACCATGTGTCAAAAACCATGGACAAATACTTGCTGTTCCAACTTTTATCATATTGTGTAAGTTTAACAACAATAAATAATGTATTTTGTAGGTTTTTATTTTGAAACTACGGCCTAAATGAATTTAAATGTACTGGATTTAATTGTTAATAATTGATACTCAGAAATAATTAAAAACTTGTATTTTTAATAATCTGGGTTTTAAAATAATCCTGTCTTCTAACATTCTAACGGAAGTTCTACAGAAGGCAAAGAGTGAGTGAGGGTCGTAGCCATTTTTACACCTTATTTTGACAAGCTTTAAATGCCAGTCAGCCTGCTAGACTAAAACGATCATTTAATAAGATGCTTTACCCGTAACAATTTGTATCACCAGTCCTTCCCGTCTTACTTAAAATGTTTGAAAAGGTTCCAGAACCGCAAGACAAGCAAATAAGGTCCATGAGTTACCTAAAGAAAAATTTTAAAATGATTTAAGTGCTACTTGAGAGATAACATTATACCAAAATACTTAAATACTCAAAATATAGTTACACAATATAGTTATTTGTACTCTCTTTTATTTACAAAATTCTGAGTCCCAGGCTGGAGTTTTGAGGGTGTTTAAAATCATGTTACACTAAGGTAAAATATTTTTACCATATGTTCATTCACCATTAAAATTCAACGATTGTTGAAGTACAATGAATGTGTTTGTTAATAATTAGCTGTCAGACTTATTTTCATAAAAGACGCCTAATAAGGTATTAGTAATTATTTTACATTGTATTTCATTGTATACATATTGTTAAATTTTTTTTCTAATGACAATGCTCTATTATTTGTTAAATGCAAAAAGATATGTATTAAATTAATCATTACTAATGTTATTGAAATAAAAAAAATAAACAAACTTGCACAAGCACTAAAGATAAACTGTATTGAAATGTAACTTTTACACTGACGTTTCAGCCATTCGTTACTTGTAATTTATAAACATGAGTTAGCTTATGTTGTGCAATGATAATTATATCTAATAATACATCTTGAAAAATCACGATTGTGAGATATACAAAATAAAACAATTGAAACTCTAAAGTATTCTTATGAGGCACAGAAAAATATTACAGAAACAGAGAATTGTCCCGCAGGGTATCCTATAGATTGCATTAAAAGTGATCTACACTCGGCCACTTTTGACAATATCATGATAATATTATAAAAACATTACTCAAAGAACAAATATAAGAATTTTTTTCACTTCGTATTTCTTTTATGTAAGACAATATTTTCTGCTACAACATGTATACGATCTGAAAGAAATCATATATTTCTTTATTGATGTTGTTTTTTAAGTGAAATAAAAAAAAATACTTTTTATAGCTGTAAGTTATTGTTAACACACTTGTTTGTACTAACAACTTGTTTGACACTGTACTTACTAAAATTTTTTTAGTTTCCAAATCACTTTTTTTTCAAGGCCCTATTTTATACATTTCTGTTACTTCTCTAATTGCTAGTTTACTACAGTCTTTTTACTTCAGCAACATTATGAACCCAAATTTCCAGCTTTTAGAATCTTCTCTGTCGAATACTGGAATCGTTACTTCGTCGATTTTTGCTTATTAGTTTACCACTTTTTCGCTTTCGTCAGAACTTTTAAGTCTTACAAATTTCGATTATATTAATAATTTTTTTGCGTTTTGCCCAAATCTTTTTCTTATTAACTTAACATTTTCTTCAACAAAATTTTCTGCCTTTTCTACAGATTTTTAATAGAGATCGTTTTCCATTTGAACTAAACCACTTATCTCTTTGTAATTTCATCTTTACAGGCCACTGAAGCAGCATGTGAAACATCAAAGGAAAAATTAGCTAGGCTTAGTTATTATGTTTGTTTTATGAAATAAATAATCACTGGATTATTGTCTTAATGGATTATTACTATATTTTAAAAATAGTTGATGAAGTAGATTATAAATACCATGATGTTTCTTAATTGTCTAGTAAGATGTGATTTACTTTTATACGTTTGATTATAGTCTATCTCCTTATTACATCAGGGTGACATATTATTTTGGTCTAAGCTTGCGTTTGATAACCTGGGATGTACATAGCGTAAGTAGGTGGGACGCAAAGCTTTAGCTATCATCAATATTACGTGATGAAGTACTTGAACTAAATCCTGAGGTTACTTTTGGCAACCTGAGTGAAAGGGGGCATGACTACCTTCCAGCGGAGGATCAAGTTTTTAAGTGTTCGAAGTGACTACTGTGTTAAACCTTGATCGAATTACTCAAAACATGCCAAAAGTTTCTTACTACTAACTGGAGCAGTGATATGCACTTTAGTATAAAATAGAGGGTGTTTAGTTTCACGATTTAAAAGCTACCACTACCACCCAAAGAGGTTGATGTCTTCGTATTAACGCAGGGTGCAAGTTATGTTTAAGTTTGCGACCGATCTATAATCTGCCATTACCGTCACAAATAGTGGTGTATGTCTCAAAGTTTACGCAAAAAACCCGTTTGTTATTGATTCCAAAGAAGTCTTGTGGCTGCTACAACCGTCATGAGTAATGGTGTCTGCCCAAGAAGTTATATCATTGTTGGACAAGAGAAAAGTTAAAAAGTTAATAATTCTTAAGCAAACTGACTTTTATTTTTAAATATTGACATTGTACAAGTAAAGAACCAGTGCAAGGTATCTGAAGCAAATATTGAACTTCACTTATGGAGGACCATATGGTATCGAAGATGGACTCCAATTATGCATTCAACCGTTGAGGGTTAAAGTAAGAACTATGTCTTTTCGGGTCCTCCGGTTTTTTTATGAAAAACAGTAGACCTCGATTATGCGCTGATTTAAAAATCACATAGAAAGCTTGCTGGGGAATATCTTGGTGAAAAGACAATAGCCAAAAATCTAAATGGCTAGAGCTACTCTTGATAGGGGGTTTGCTTACTCATGCCCTTCCTTTCTCGTCTCCGATCAAATTTGAAAGATTTTGGTTGTAACTTAATATTAACATTGAGATAAAATATTCCTTATATTTACTAATGCTAGAAAGTAATTGTTTATTTAATTCAACTTGTTACAAAAAAGCAGTAAAAACCGCTTAGCATTTTATTTACATACTTAATTGAATAAACAGTCGGTAATAGTATTCAGATAATAGTATTTATAATAATTATAATAGTAACGACGTTCAGATAGTAAAAACGATAATAGTTACTAGATTTACCGTAGGTAACACCTATGTACATTGACTAGAAAAGTTAGTAATAATGGAAGATTAATTAAATAGCCCCTGTGATGGCTATGGTTAAAATACTTATAGTTATAGGGACGATAGTGAGACACATCTCAGGAGCCGTCAGCTTTAAACAATTATTTATTTACTGAATTCAATTTATTGTAAAATTTTCATTTGTTAGTTGTTGCAAATTTACTTTGAAATGGTTGGAAGCACTTGGTCAGCTTATTTCTCTTCAGTAGTCATAGGAAAAGAAGTTGGCTCTGCTAGAATTGCCACAGTTAACACTTCTGTATATTATATGTAGCTATTTGTTACTGCATATGTAACATAAATATGATTATTTTTTATCTTAACTAGAATTTTGTTTAATCTTAGTCTAAACGTTTTAATTCTAAGATATTAAAGCTGTTAAGATAAGGACGTGGTGAAAAAGGGTAAGTAGGGAGTCAATCCATTAAGTTGGTGCCACTGCCAAAGGGTGTGAGACGAGTACGAGTAAAAAAGACACACTCTATAAGTCAATTTCCATCTACACATCAAACAAATCAGGTGTTCGTATTGCTTTGTGTAAGAAGTGGCCATAGCACCTCAACTACGGGACTAAGTGTGCTGCTCGCTTTCTTCTTCAGATTAATATTATTTTTTCTCCTCTCACACTCTTCACCATTAGCTAAGTAAAAGTCTGAACTTCAACTAAATAAGTTTATGTGATTGATAGATGAATTGTACAAACCTTAGACTACACAAAAAAAGCTAACTGAAGTTAATTTCTTACATAATGCACTTACTTGTTTGCATGATGAAAAAAAGGACAAAAATCTTGTGATTAGAAGTATCAATAAAAAGGTTTTGACATCATTTCAACCTTCCTTTTTCCTTGCAATCCAGCACCTATCAAAATCATACAGTCTTCTAAAAGGACGTTTGAAGGATGACGAGTAGGTAATTCACTATCCAAACAAAGTCCTCCGAGACAAAAGAACAAGAAAGTGTGCTGTGCAAACGAGTTAGAGCTCTTATCCAGACATCCTAAAGCTCTGCTGGTGCACGTTTGCACTAAGGACAAGGAAAGTACCACGTGATTCATCAAAATTCATCAAGTAGTGTCCTGTCAGCCATTGTATAATTCTGCGAGATTACGTGAGCGTTCTAAGCTCCTCTCTCTGGCTTTCATGTGCTCCGA